GCTAGGTCTGGAACCAGTGAAAGATCTTCATAAAATCTTCTCGTAAATAGATACATTTTGTAACACATTACGACAGAAATTAAACAACTTGATAAATTAAACCATGATTAAACAAATATGTATTCTTACTCTTTTTGTTTTCCACACCCCTTTAACTTCTTCTTGAACAATTTCGAAACTGCTGTTAACAGATTGGACTCATCTAATCTGTGTACGGCTGGAAAATCACTCTTTAATGTACAAATGAGATCATTCACTAAGAGTATCTCACCACGAGATTGCCTAACCACTTGCTGTAGTGCACCAACAAGTTCAAATATAAACTTTCGGTGGGCTGGTTTCACAGTATAAATTTAAGAAAATAAACTTCTATAGTCATTGATAGTTTTTTTAAGCAACATTATTAGTCCTTATCTCTTTTTTTCTTACAAAATATTCTTACCTTTTCGCTTCGTTCCCCCTGGAGCCACTATTGATTGTCTTACAGTACTTCCGTACCGATCAACTAGTAAATTTGCTTCGTTTGATGTTTCTTCTTCAATACAAATATCACTGTCGCTGTCATCATTGACACGAATAACACTCGAACTCGGTTGGACATTAAGTTTTCTGCTAACACTGAGTCAGCCTGTAAACACGACTGTCTTTGGGGGAAGAAGGAGGGGCAGGGCCGTAGCTAAGAATGTAATGTTGGGGGGGTGTAGGCCAAAAATTTCCGAATGACGAAGAAAATTTCCGAATATTTCATGGCATACGAAGCCACGAAGGTGTTTGCTATCCGGAAAATGAAGATGCAATTTACAAACAAAAATACACATAATTTACGCAAAGACATATTACAGAAGCATGCAGTGCCGTAGGAAGCTCATTTTGTACTGGGGGCTGGGAACGAGGGCCGAAGGCTCGAGGAAATTTTTAAATTTAGATTCTCTGAAATGCCATTTCCTGGACTTTGGGGAAGTTTTGACAGAATTCTGATGGTCAGAAAACAGAGTTTTAGTATGATATTTGTGACGTTACTCTGAATATGCATCCACAGCGGGCAAGCTGAAAAGTTTGCTTGGCCACGGTGGGATTCGAACCCGCGACCTTTGAGATACTAGCCCAATGTTCTGCCAACTGAGCTACGTGGTCAAGTCGGTTCGAGTTTTTAATAGAGTTTTAGTATGTCGAAATTTACAATTTGCTTACAATTTAGTAGAACTAAATGGGCGAAGGCGTATTTAATTAACTATATATTGCAGGAAAGAGTATAGGTAATATGATTCTTTGCGGTTTGTCATGGATAATGTAGCCGCTTAAAATTAATCAATAGACCTTTCCCCTTATGAGTGAAATTTTGATCTAGACAAGCCTAAACAAAAATTTCATCATAGCTTGAAAGAGCATCACAAAATTACTAATATTCCGAAGTTTCGTTACGAAATGTAAAATGCGGTAATATAGCCTTGCGAAGTTTGCCGTTTTTCAGTCATTGTATTACAAATGGGAAATTGATAATCAGTTTGATCATCTGATTATCAATTTCCCGTTTGTAATGCAAAATGACTGAAAAACGGCAAACTTCGCAAGGCTATATTATCCGCATTTTACAACATTCAACGAAACTTCGGAATATTGCTAATTTTGTGATGCTCTTTCAAGCTGTGGTGAAATTGTTGTCCAGCCTTGTCTGGATCAAAGTTTCACTAAAATGGTTAAGGTCTATCGTACAAGTGTGCAAGTCCGATCGGATTCGTTCGGATTTCGGAACCAAAACGTAAATTTCGGATCGGATTGATAAAGTTGTTTCGTAGTCGGTTCGGACTTCGATATCCGAAATAAAATGAATTAATTATCCATGCATTATCGCGAGAATTAATTATCCATACATTTATCAAAGTATCATCGCAGTTTTCGCTGCATTATTCGTTTGATACTTCATTTGGACGTCACTTTGTCAGCTTCTTGACATGTATTTCTTGCTTTTATATTTTTTGGTTAAATATTTCACCTTGAATGAGAAATAATTTTATTAAAGAATTCTTCGGATTGGATCGGATTGGAATTCTTTTTCAAAACTCGGATCGGATTCGGATTAGACAATTTCGGGTCGGATTTTAAACATTAGGCAATTGTCGGATTATAAACGTCCGATCCGATGACACCTCTAGTCCATTGTCAGTATTTTAAAGGTATATTATTTAATTAAATGATAAGGTGTGCATGATTTTGAAAAAAAGAATGATTATCAGCAAATTATTGTAAGGGCTGCTGCCCCCGATCGACTGCTACGACCCTGAGAAGTAATAAACCAAAAAACATTTACCGATTTAAGATTTGTTTTACGTTATCCATGTAAATACCGTGATTTAGTAAATCAGTTTATACCAATGGTTTATACTGACAACACCATTTTATAATATTTTCTCTGTTTAAACAACTAAAATTTTGTTATACTATTGTTGCCGTAATTTTCCGAATGGCCAACCCGATTTTCCGAATATGTTAATTCTACAAAAGTTGGGGGGGGGGTTAACCCCCCCCCCCCCCAATACCCCCCTCGTTACGGCCCTGAGAAGGGGGGAAGAGAGTAGACAGTCTGTGGACATTATAACATAAAAAATTTCTCTAGTCCGTATTATGGACAAAGGTTTTCATTGGCTGCTGGTCATCGTATCTATCTCCTTCCGGTTTGATATTTTGCATAATTACTAATAATTACTATGCGTAATATAAACACAAAATGGACGCTATTGACTTTGACCATCTTTTGGACGGAGTTATATCCTCACTTTTTGGTAAGAAGTTTACGCTGAAACCGGAGCAAAAGCTTTACATAAAAGGCCGTTTGCTGCGATAACATTGATTTTTTTGCCCAGCTGCCTACTGGTTTTGGCAAAAGCATCATAAACCAGTTAATCCCGAGAGTAAAGTCGACTGCTTTACTTGCTGCAAATGCTGAAGCGCGTCAAGATGAAATGCAGCAAGTTGTCGTTGTAGGTCCCCTTGTTCAAATTATGCAAGAGCAGGTTAAAGATCTTGCGTTCCATGGAATGAAGGCTGCAAGAATTGGTAAGTCATTTGATGTTGACCATCAAGTTATAGAAGGACATTACGAAGTAATATTCGGCAACGCTGAGGAATGGCAATTACCTAAATGGAAAACCTATTTGAAGAAGACACGAAACATTGCTACTTTTGTTGTTGACGAGGTGCACACTGTGGTGACTTGGTAAGTGCAATTAATCTGTATTATTCTGTTTGATTAACAAGAAGGAATACATAAATTCATGCTCACTGATATCTCTTGCATGTACTGACCCGTTAAGAATGCATAGACAGCATAGTATTAAAGCAACTGGAGTTCATCCCTCTACTCTACTGAGTACTGTAGTTGCTCGTTTCAAGTTATCCTCCAGATGTCACGCATGAGCTCATTTTATGGTAAACTGCAAGTGGTCTATTAAACTATTAGTACAATACAAAATAAACATATTCTGAAAATATGCATCTTGAAAATCCAAAATATGGATCAAAATCAATGCAAATTTTTATGGTAAAAAAAGCCATAAAAAATTTGTCTTGATTTTGATCCATATCTTGGATTTTCAAGATGCATATTTTCGGAATATGTTTTATTTTGTGTTTTTTCAAATTGTCAGCTGGAAATGGATTTTAAACTATTATAGTAATATTACTAATAGTTATATTTCAGCGAGTCCTAACATGGTCTCAACTTTCTATTTTATTTTGTGGTTGCAACCACTGATCTCATCAGTTGTTGAATTGTTAGGAAGATTTTGTTGTGCTTGTAAATGGATAACATTAGACTGTGGCCATGGAAATTTGCAAATTCTTGCTGCATATCTTCCCTTTTTTGTTGCCTCATTCTGTGCAACAGAAAATATGCCCCCCCCCCCCAACAAAAATTAGGCCCCATTCACTTATATATAACCTGAGTATCAGGCCCTCGGTATTGAAAGAGGGCCTGACACGAAACGCCTCAAAAGCCATGTTCAACATCCAGAATCTGGATGTTATGCTGATTGGCTAAGAGACGATAAAACGCATCATGTGATTCAAACCGGAAATATATGACCGGCGTATGTAAACAACAAAAATAGAATTTGTAATTTTGTCAATATACTGTTAAAAGTGCTTTATTATTGAAATTTATTTTCAATTAATTAGGCCTAAAAATGACAAAATAAGTACGAAAAGACGTTGAAAACGCTTTGCAGCAACATTTTACTCGGTATAAAACTAAAACTACATAGTCATAGTAGAAAGCGTGTCTAAATATCTCGCCGTAATAGTCGCCGTAGAACGAAAATATGTGGATGTCGGAAATTTTCAAATATTTCGTTCCAAAAAGCTGAAGCCTTATTTATCAGTTTATTGCCGAGCTGTTTTCCAAGACCTGCAAGGATATAGTAGTCAGCTCG